TACAGCTATATTTATGAAAACATCTGCCAGTTAAACGTTATGTTTTGTCTCACCACTTTCGTCATCCGTGCACAGTCGGTTATACTTCACGGAATAAGCGGTCAAAGGATTTCTTACATATAATATTTTTTGCGGATGCGACATCCTTCTAGGGTATTGAGACGTTGGCCCGCATATGCTTCTAATGCTACATTAACAGGCTTCTTGGGTTTTCTTGCAGTGAGTGCCGAACGCCCTAGAAGTACTGGCCAATTAAAAAATGCGTTCTCTGGATACAGTAAAAAAGGAAATAGGAAGGAAAAATCTCAAGATTCAAAAGAATAAGGTGAACAAGAAGAAGAAGAAGAAGAAGAAGAAGAAGAATGGGATGCGATCGCTGAAACAGGAAGTTTATCGACCGGAAGTTTCGGATTCTCACTCAAACCTATCATCTGCGACTGCCTCTGATGATGCTTCCAAGGGAACATCCGAAACTTCGGGCTAATAAACTTCTTGCTCCATCGACCGCATCATCTTCCTCTTCCGAACTGCTTCTCAGAGCCCTACTGTTTGCTTTAGTCAGCAAACCTCAAGATTGTTGTAGTGCTACTTCGAGATGAAGCACACTTTCATTGTCATAGGATAGATTGGCACTGCGTTCCATAGCATTTTTGCTGTCCTCATGGACGTGCAGCCAGATGGTGGATAAGTATAAATAGTACGCAACAGCAGGGATGTGCACACCATCATATCAACCGTCTCTTCTCGCTCTGGTGTCGTGCTCCGGATGGGCGGAAGCCCCTACTGATCTGTGGGGAGCTAATCGTCGTCTGAGTTTGAACTGGCGTTATGTGCCGCCACAGTGCCCTATCCACCTGGACCTTTCTGGAATGTATGTACCTATAGCATGTTTGTTTTTGAAACTGTGGAACGGCCAGCCGTGAGATTTCTTATTCTCTTACTCCGCGCACCGCCGTACAAAAGGAGGTCGCGGACTGCCTACTCAGAACCCATAAATTTCATTTGCTGATTTATTTGGTCCTATGAGCACAACATGTAAGTCGGAGGACAGGGCGCTCTTCCACAAGGATGTCTGGAATGTGCACAGAGTGCGAACAGATTAATCTCTGTTCCATCCTGCAGTTCGAGTCTACTAGGTAAGCAGACAGTGTGGACAGCGGGGAGCGGTCTCCTTGCACTTGGACATTCCTGTTCCCTGCTCAGGAAAGACATTCGTAAAATTATTAAAGGTGACTCGGGCACTGCCTCACCCATCGGCCGGTAGAGCAATCAACGTACAAACGACGCGGCACGCTGGCCGACTAGTCAATTTCTCTACTCCCCTCCCCCATACCTGCCCCCCACAACATGTGGAAACCGGCTTTTGCATATTTCCTCCCCATAACCCCCCGGCTCTCTCACATCCGTTGACTTTATTACTGCCCTCTTCCCCTCCTAGAACAACTCTAGTCCCCGGTCCTCCCCACCATAGCGCCAAAAGTGATTCTTTCATTTAACTGGTTCTTCTACCAAACCGGTTATTTGTATCAGAGCAGGCCTGATGATCAAATGACGAGGATGATCGTTCACCTACGTGGATGTTTATTCAAACTCGCTTTTTCCCATTTGACTTATCTGACAGGGAGGTCAACACTTCCTTGGCAAATTGCCGCTAGTGACAATGCTTGCCGTCTTCCTGCAACAATTGACTTTACGAATATCTCTACAGATGTCAAAATTACAGCGATGCTCTACTTGGAGTTAACGGCCTACAATGTCTACGCGCCAAGCTTGAAAGTCTCGGTGGTAAGGAACAGACGGCTAGGACAATGACCTTACTTGCATTTGTAGAACATGTGATAGGCCTATTCCATGTGAGCTCAGACGCCTGCCACCGGCAGACCACACCGACATCGCGAAGAAGGGGACACGGTCGCTGGAACAAGAGCTTTATTAGCCTGAAGTTTCGGATTCTCACTCGAATCCATCATCAGGGACTGAGTCATCAACATCCCCGCGCTTGCACGCAAACACCGCGCTTGCTGCGATCTTTTGGTTCAATCGTGCTAATTCATGAAATGTCAACCAAAATTTCGAAATGCGTTCTCGTTTCGAAAAGATAAATTAAGTAGTGTTGTAAAACTAATCATGATGCAGCTTACATCTATAATGATTCAGTTACCGCAGGGTCTCGGCTTTCGAAAGAACTTACTTCCGGCTGCATTCAAGATCTATACTCTGCAAAAAATGACTACTTATGTAGTATGCAATTTTCATATTGATTTTCGATGCCCTTGAAAATTCAATTATATTTCATGGAAAAAATGCATAAAAATATTCATTCTTTTACTATTTCGGTAGAAAATCACGTCTTATTCCAGGTTCATACTCAAAAGAAGAGAAGAACTCGGTTTTAAAAAAGTTTCTATTTGTGAAATTTTTTTATACCGTTCAATGGCCGTTCATGAAACGTCCTGTATCTGCATTTACGAATGTGGCATGTAAAGTTAACAATATTGCATGCATTTCTCTACGGTTTTAAGAGGAGACCATATGAAGTTCATAAAATTAAAGCAGTGGATTTAAGCAATATTGTTAACTTTACATGCCACATTCGTAAATGCAGATACATGACGTTTCATGAACGGCATTTAACGGTATTAAAAAATTCCACAATTAGAAACTTTTTTAAAACCGAATTCTACTCTTCTTTTGAGTATGAAATTGGAAGAAGACGTGATTTTCTACCGAATAAGTAAAAGAATGAATATTTTTATGCATTTTTTCCATGAAATATAATTGAATTCTCATGGGCATCGAAAATCAATGAGAAAATTGCATGCTACTTAAGTAGTCATTTTTTGCAGAGTATAGATCTTGCATGCAGCCAAAAATAAGTTCTTTCAAAATCCGACACCCTGAGGTAACTGGATCATTATAGACTTATGCTGCATCATGATTAGTTTTACAACACTACTTAATTTATCTTTTCGAAACGGGAACGCATTTCGAAATTTTGGTTGACATTTCATGAATTAGCTCATCTACTGTACACTAACCTGTAACTTGCGGGCAGGTCCTAAAAGCAGTCTTACTCTCATTGGTAACGTAGGCACTACCTGTTTTTGCTCACCACCAAAGGTTATGATTGCTACATCACTAGTTTCTTCCGCCTCAACGATGATTCGCATACCTGCTAGTTAAGAACACGCCGCTGTCCTCGTGCACAATGAAGACACCATTTCGAACCTAAGAGCGGCATCCTTTTTGTAAACTTAAAACGTCAGCTTACCTTATCTTTAAGTACCCTCTCTGTGACTGGGCGTTTTGGAAAAGTTAAGTCTGGATTGAATAAAACAGGCTGCAAACTCCTAGACAATTGAGAGAACATATCCCGGGAATCAGAAGCATACACTAGTTGACCATTATGGTTTGGCTAAATTGTTGGTTGCAGTCGTTCTGGAATGTGATAATTCCTGAAAGCTGCAGACGCGGACCATTCTTTGCATGTCATCTGTTCATTTTCTTGCGTTAGGACACCCAGGAGAAGTCGCGTCCGGTCCAGAGAATTTCGGAGTGATACTGGCTGCTTTGAGAAAATATGATGAACAGCGGATAGCAGCAGTCCAGACAGATTTTGCATTTGCACGTTTTCTTTTTATTTTAGCCAAATACGGTTTAAAAATCCGAATACATCCCTGCTGCTGGGACGCATATGTGTTTTTGATATCGCACTCCAAGGAGCTTGTGTTTGCAAGGAGCTTCAATAAACTGGTTATGGTCGTGAGATGCCCGTATCTTATTAGCTGATATTACGTACGAATATACCTATATAACCCATAGATTAGGAGAACGCCCACCGATCGCGATACGGAACTCACTCGTCCTGTTGTGCCTTGGAGCTCTCCCTCGAGCACGATCTATTGAGGTCTCGTAAAATATCCAGTTGAAATAAGGACTCTTTTGATTAGCTTTGCAGTATGTGTACAATATGAGTTTTAAAAAGCTTCACCCTTGACGCAGTCGTCAACTGGCTCTCGGGTCCACGCCTTTTCGAGCCAATACAACATGGCTGATAGCATAGGTGACGTGGATGTTCCAAAAAACTGACCAGACATTTCATCTGAACGCACATCCCTGCGAACTTCAAAATTCACGTGGATTCTATCAACCTGAGCACGGCAAATACGTGCAGCGACTTTTCTGTCTGTGGGATTTGTCACAGTGCCTAGGTTCATGGGCACTAGATAGGGAAATTCTGGATCTTATTGAGACATCTGAAGTGGTGTGACCCTTTTATAATGAGGTTTTTAAGAGTATTCTACCCAAGCTAAGCTCTATAACGTTTGGCAGAAATCAAAAAGGCAAGGTTTAACGACTGAGCAGCAAACATAAGCAAGCCTGGTTGCCGAGCCGGCCTACAGAGTAATTAATAAACAGATAGTTGCAGCCGGCCGAACCGTTGTATGTCGTAGATTAAACTACGCAGGAAATTGTGGGACATGTCAAAACATTACAGATATGTATGCTATGGACCTGGCAATTCATAATTTTAGCCAGGACGTTTCTGATAAGCTAAAAACTTTCAGGTAGACATGCCAAAATTTGATCTTTTAATGTTGTTCGCCCTTCTACGGCAACTCGTTGCGCAGGCACCTTCTTTCTCCACCCATGAGTCAAGTCAAGAATTAAGGAAGTTATACGGACACCGTTGGAGGTTCAAGGCGTGGTCTTGTTGTGCGAAAATCGGTTTCACATGAGTATCGCCTTCGTAAACATGAACTGCTCAACAGCTTCGATAGCGCGTAAAGAACTCGTATAATTCGCTTCCAACCAAAAGACGCCACTAATCAACCAATTCAGAGGAATGTGCTGCGTAATATTTTGAATAATTTTCTCGTATCCGGAATGGGAAAATAAGAATTTCATACGTCGGAATAGGGTAGGCTTTTTTCTAACTTTTTATTTTTGATTCGTGACAAACTAAAGAGTCTGGAAAATACAATCGAGAGCAGTAAGACTTAAATGCGCATGGATACAGCTCCAATGATCTCCTCAAACGCTCCAATCGAATCTTCCGACGACCAGATCCAAGATGTCAAGTCATTGTCGAAATAAGCTGAATCATCAGGCGCAGTAAAACTCTCCACAGTGTTTCGTGGTTTCACTCCTCCACCTAAAAACGGTGAGTAATTATAATTAAAACACCTTGAAAATTCAACAGAAGCGGATTTACTCATAATAACAGGCAATCTTTAAACCAAAAGCCCTTGTAGCTGGAAAAACTACGCACATCGTGTCAGGTTATTTTCAGACAGTATTATATACTATTCTTAGCCATTGTCCAAACAGTAATATCATAAATGCATACGGCTATTTGGCTTTCTAAAGCCATGTGGCATGCACTAAGCGAGCTAACTGTTCTTACCAAGTACAAAGACTGAGTCGGCAGAGGTTAGAATAGCAGAAAACGCGCGAGGCTGTTTCATTGGAGCAAGCTCGGTCCATTGGCCGAGGGGGCACACGGTGTCCGGTGGTGAAAACATCTCTACAACGTTAACATCCTCCCGGTAATCCCATCCGCCGGCGACAATGATTCTTCCTCTGAAGTGCGCAGCTGCAAGAAAGGCCCGAGCAGTTCTCATGGGGGCAGCCGGTAGCCAAAAGTTCCTGTCTATCTCAAAGGTCGATGCTTCTGGCCAAAATGTGCGCAAGTGGCAGAACTCCACTGACGCACTCACACCGGCGTCACCACGACCGCCAAAAAGGAAGACTCGATTGTCGTCGGGTAGGACGGCAGCAGCTGCGCCACACCTCTTCTCCCGCAGATTGGGCAATTTATACCATCTGATGAGGCCGCGGGAAGGAGATGCAAAGCAGGAAATTGTGAATAACGATAATTTTTTTAAAAATCGGAAATGTGGATCATAAATATTCCCACCTGTTGCGGTTCACGTCATAAACTTCGCAACAACTGAGGCGTCTATAAGTATTCCCGCGCCTAACGGATCCACCAAAAATACCAATCAGGGTATTTTCTTTCCCTTCATTGTCTCCAGTGTGAACGCTGACGACCGCGGCTGCATGATCAAAACGCGGAACTATGAGAGAGGGTCGTTGGCGCCAGCTTTGTTCCCTTACCAGGAACTCATTGACATCTTTGGAGGCATACTGATTCTCATTCCATCCGCCAACTACGAAAAGGCTCTCTTTCGAAGTGCAATGAAAGAAAAAAATACAAATACAAATTAGCAATAATCAGGAATTTTATAAAGATGAAGACAGATGTCAAGACAAACAGAAAGACGGCGGACGATTACTTAAGTGGCGTAACTCGTGATAACTTACTAAACATAGTATGGAAGTGTACTCAGGCAGTATAAACTTGTTTTTTTCAATCTGATTCATGTGCATAAACCAATGCGTAGATGCTAGAAACAACAGTTCTTCCCACGATTTGCTTGAAATTGGGAACCCGCGATGCAGTTGATTCCATTGCTGTCGTGAAAAAGTATCAACCTAATTTGCCGAAAGCGAATCCTAACCTCTTCGTTTGAGAAGAGGCTCCCTTGTCTTTGTCGGTAATAACATTCTGCCCAAATCTACCTGCATTCGTATTCATGGAAACCAGTTAACGAGGCGGAAACAAGACTATCCCACTCGAGTGGACTGACGCTTATTGGATGCAGTTGTGTTGGCTAGAATCCGCATTTTTGCCGTTTTCAAAAACCGAAAATTCTCGAAGTGTTCGGAGATCGGACTTGCGTCTATGGACACATCAAGTGGTACATCACGCACACGCAATAGTTCGACCGTCGACTTCGACGATGTCCACCGTGTGCTCCACAGCAGATGGCGGGAGCAGGGACGGTGACTTGCGCTGGGGTTTATAGTGCCAGTAGACTTGCGCTGCATCTACCTACACTCTCTCCTTCTCCCCCGCCTGAGCCCGGTGTCAAGGCAGAGTCAAGAAGACCGGAGACGAGGGAGGCCGCAGGTGGATGGCTCGGACGGATCCTCGCCTTGGCGCTCCACTCCGCACCCCCTGGTCCACACACAAATGACCAGGATTTTTACCACCACAACAATGGGGTGATGGCAGTGGTCTAGTTGTGCGACGAATGCCGACAACAGGGTCCGCCAGCGCACCCCGCAAATGTTGGCATTTGGTATTGCGCACAGATAACGCCTGCCAGAGGCGATGTGGCCCACGTGTTGGTCCAGCACATCTAACACGTCGCCCGTTTGGAGGGCACAATCACACACCAACACACATACCCATACACGACAGTCCGACCTTCGTGCCCGACAGTGTCCACGGTGTGCTCCAGAGCAAGATGAAGCAGTTCGTAGTTAGGGTGGACTTCCACACATCTACCGCACTCTCTCCTTCTCCTCAACCTGGGCCAGGTGTCAAGACATAGTTACGAAGACCGGAGGTGGGAGATGGTGCAGGTAGCTGGCACGGCTGGACCCACACCTAGACGCTCCACTCCACACCCCCTGGTCTACAGCACACACTTGACCGGGATTTTAACCAACAATAACAGCACCAAAATGGGTCAGATAGACGAGGATGATTGGGCAGCCATTTTCACCACCTAAAAACCCACTGGAAGGGCAAGCGCATCTACCGGCAGGGAATTAGGTGCCAGAGAACTGCCAGCGCACTCCAGGGCTTAGAGGGACATACTTTGCTGACCATAACATGGCACGTGCTTACATATCTTGAGGCCCAGACGGGTGACATTCAGTCCTGCATTTAGCCTGGATCGTCACTCTTCAAGGGCTGGGTAACCAGTCAGTCGTCGACTGAGAGGCACTACTAACGAATACGCATACACCCCTCACATGCGTGAGAGTGCCAGAGGTCACCTCAAGAAGGAACCGTGACAGCTTGGCTCTCAGCCCACCAGTCCGCTACTCAACACAAACACACACGACTGGGCTGACTGAGTGGACTGAACACAAAGACGCACACACACACAAGAGAGTTAGACCGTCGGTTTCGACGATGCCCACCGTGTGCTTCACAGCAGGCTGATAGCAGGGACGGTGACTTGCGCGGGGTTTATAGTGCGAGTAGACTTGCGCTGCCTCGATCACACCCTCTCCTCCCCCACCTGGACCCGGTGTCAAGACAGAGTCAAGAAGACCGGAGACGCGGGAGGGCGCAGGTGAATTGCACGGCCGAGCCCGTGCCTCGGCCTTCCACTCCAAACCCCCTGGTCCCACAACAAATAACCAGGTTTTTGACCAACAACAACAACAGAGATTGGAGGCTGACACACACACACACACACACAAACACAATTTTCAAGGACAAGTGAAGATCCCCGTAGCCAAGCTCTGCGGGAGACAGAGCGCTATGCACGCGTATTGGCACAAAATGAAGGTAAACAAGGTGTCTTTTGTTCGGTTCGGTTAAGACGTTAGCTGTTACTTTATGCGTTCGCGGCAGGTTCCGCGACGAGTTGGGAAAACAGACTCAAAATGTGACACGGCAACCTTTTTAAATAGTGTCTGGGGAAACAGGAGAAACAGTGACTGATATAATCAAATGTATTTTTTGAGGAAATTTAATAATCACACTGTCTTGTAATACTGGCCATATTTATTGTTGTTCTAAAGTTGCTTTGTGTCCTACGATATACTTATTCCTGATCATATCTGCCAAAAATAGGCAATGACCAGTAAATTTACGAAAATTGCTGTAAAGTTTCTGGGGATTTTTAGAATCGCTTTTCTAGAAGGACAAGTGGTGAAATTTTTTTAAAAATAAGCAGTCGCTGAACATTGTGACATCGGCTTAGGCCTATGATTCGTCATAATTCCGGAAATGGTAGCCTATTTTTTACTTATTACGTACTATCAAAATCGTACAGTTCTTCATATAAATGTCTTGGCACCCCCATATTTTCAAAATGGGACGTTCTGATATCGATAAAATTGCCGTCAAAGAAAATTTAGGGAAACGAACGGATTATATCCACTAAAATGGTCTATTTGCCGAAAATTTAAAATTGGAAATGGATTGTTTTACTAGTGACAGATGTGAGGCCTTAAATTTAAATGCAGCGGTTGCAGCATTATGAAAAATTTTGGAATTTGATGCGTCGGTGTGCGACGTGTATGCAGAAATTTGTTAAACATGCGTATTTCAAGTGGCACTTTGAGAGAATCTCCGGCAACTTACCCCCCACGACGCTGAAGGAGGCACCATAGCGTAGTCCCACGTAACCTATTCTTTCCGCCTTTCGCAGGCTCGAATCAAAAAGGAAGACCGACCACTTGTTATCATTTTTCTCCATTCCGTAGATTAAGAATGACTGAGGCGGCCTCATGCGGCGACTAAGTATGTTAAAGGGACATGGTGGCTTGTTCCCACCCTCAGCGCCAATCCACTGCTCAACTAGAACCAGAAATTGACTTCCATATTTTAATAATGATTTTGGGTGTCATATACTTACGCAAACTCGAGGCTATTCTGAAATATTGGATGAGACTCCATCAGACGTTTGCGGAACTGAACAGTCGTCCGATGCCATTGAACCTGCCTCAGCATCGTCGCAGCGTGTAGTGTTAGCTTCTCTCTGTCGCAGTCCACACATGGACTTACCCAACGTGAAATAGCCTCAAACACCTCCTCCTCGGATTCAATCGCCAGGCCTTCGCTTCGCAACAAGGCGAGCACGGTGTTGGCTGGCAGCCGAACAAATAGATCACTGCAGACGAAACTTTCAAAGTGCATTTTCATGTGGTGGATGCAGGCTTCCGACAGTACTCGGATATTCAGAGACCTGGCAAAGTCCCACGTGACTGCCAGATTTTCCGAATTTACACTTTATATCGGACAGGTAAATAGGAGTATCGGAAGGAGATTTACGTGCTGGCCATAAATTCCGCTCCCCAGTGTTCGAGGAAAGGAAGGTCAAGAATCCGTGCAAGCATTACCAAACCTTTGGCATTGGCTTGCGTCATCTCCACTTGGCCGGTATAGACGTAGTCGATGAGAAGGGCTGCGATGCTAGCATGATCAGTAATCATGAACAACGTGCGAGCATGAAATTACCTTAAAGGCACTGACGGCCATCTCAGAACCATGCTCTCTAGCCCGAGGGGTCCTCTCAGTGTCGCTCGCAGAGAGGGAATCCGGGCCGCCACTATGATCCTATGGGCGTGCAGAAGAGCACCGTTCTGCGCCTAACACGCCGAAGTCAATGTAATGAGCAGTACAACATCAGGAGTAGCTACCTCTATGGTGAGGTCTTTCATCTCCTCAGCAATGCGAATCTCGTTGAGGGTTGGGCAACAACGAACTAGGGGAAAGTCGTCTTCGAATAACTGTGCCTGTGAGATTGACATGTCGGGTATATAGCAGAGCAGAGGCGAGATGTTGCGAAACGTTGTGATTTTATTCTGCTGTCACCTTATGAGCCAATTAGCACGCACGCTCCGATGACCTACAGAACTCCAGGCGATTGGATTGCCACGAATGAGTGTGTGGAGTTCGAATCGAGCGGCAGATTACACATCAGGGGCTCAAATGGCGGGTAAAGAATTCACCACTTATTTTGCGAGTCTAGAGGGCATAAGTGTTTTCATTTATGCGGTAAAGCTGATAGGGCGAAGACAAAGCTCAACGGTTTACAAGATTCAGATGTTGTATTTCGAGAATGAAAAGACCTGGTAGCATCGTAGGGAGCTGTTGAGTAGAACTGGCTTGATGTCTGCTGATAAAGTAAGTTGATGAAGGGCCTATGCTTGTACAAAGTAACAACGATACCATAATTCGTTAAGTGTGGCATGGCGATTAAATTCGGTGAGCGGCCTGTCTGGCGGTCAACATCCGACACCATCAACAGCAAGGTGTTCATTGCAATTGTCAAGGATGCTTTCGGCTACAACGGCATAAGTCGGCGCCGAATGGATACTGTAATTTTGCAGGACAATGCACCTGTCCACCGCTCTAAAGAGGTACGAATTTGATGCCGCTTGCAAATATAATCTAACATTTTAGACAACAACCGCGCTCTCCGCAATTAGCCTCCAATCCATTTTCATCCCGGCCAACAGTCCCGATTTGAATCCTATCGAAAATCTTTTTGGAATAGTCAAAAGAAATTGGCACAAAGCTAAGAAGACTCTTTCAATGCAGGAAAAATTGGATTTCATACTCAATAATTACATTTTACAATCCATCATAGATAACCTTGTCATGTCTATGTCGGACAGACTTTCTGCTGTTATTAATTCGAATGGACAATCTACAAAGTACTAATTTTTTGTATCTGTTTCTGTCCTTAATTATTTTTGACCTTTTATGCGCCCTCCTTTATACGCCCTCATACGTAGCCTTTATTAACTTGGTTGTAATATAGGCGTTTCTCGAAAATGTGACTTTTGTCGAAAATTATTTATTTTTATCTCAGTAAATAATATTTTCTTAACCAAACTTTGCTTTAATTCTTTGACACATCGTTTATTTTCCGCTATCAGACTTTGGGAGCCGTAGTGTTTACCGATGTTGCGTTAAAGTCGTTAACCTGTGTTAATTCGTGACATTTCATGAGTTAGCACAGGTACTGTAAATGTCCGGCAGAGCGGATTCGACCGAGACTCTGACAAGTCTGCATCCTGAGCAAACAGGTATAAATAAGGGATGCAAACATTTCAAGCGCAGTCTGCAGGGAAAACAGATATCTACGACAAGTAAAAGAGTCCTCTACGTGACTCAAAATTGAGTTTGGAAATTTGTGGACGTGAGCACGTAGAGGTAGCAGGTAAGACGGAAGTTTCGACAACAGGCAGTAAGTCATCAACCGTGTGTTGAAAGGAACCACTGTGCTTTCGGAAATGCTGATGGCTGCGATAGAACCCTTTCAGGCAAGGCGCGCAGACCCAGGGCATGCACCTTGGCGCGCAAACGGAAGGCTGCTGCCCTCGATCTGCAGTCGTCATCTATAGCCACGCCGCGTAGGCGAATTTCGGGTTGCGTTGACTGGGGATGGGGCCTTGTAAACTGATGAAAGGGGCTTAACGAAAACACTTGGCCTGCTCTCATTAGGACTTATCGCGAGGATTGTGATGCCTATGCACATGGTCGGCCGTTGCGAGCGAGAACGTCCGCCGTGTGAGCGGAACGCCAATCACTTGCGCGCAAAGTAGTGTACGCTGAGGCAGGATTCGGTTGTATCTGCCGCGCTGTTCCCTTCTCCCTCAACCATCTAGAGCCGGCGGCGAGATAGTCGGAAGGCGGGTTTGGGTGAAGTGGCCGAGAGAGCTAGGCAGCCCGTCGGCAAGTGCCAGGCATAATCTGGTTCCCACAGCACGCATCAGGCCCTCACGAGGCGGCTTGGACGGATCGACCGTCGTCACCGACGGTGACTGCCGTGTGCTCCGCAGCATGGTGAAAGGAGACACGGTGACTTCGCGTTAATTAGTTTGTGGTGGTGGCGGACTTGCGTAGCATCTACCGCACCAGTCCCTCCTCCCCCACCTGGATCCGGTGTCAAGACATAGTCAAGAAGACTGAAGGTGGGAGAGGGCGCCGGTGGCTGGCATGGCCGGATACCCACTTGGGCGTACCACTACACCTCCCGGTCCACAACAACCACTTGACCAGGATTTTAATGAACAGCGAAAATAGGTTTCGGCATTGAGTCCTCCATTAACAACCTGCGAGTTTGAGCCCCAGTTGCTCCACACTTCGGGGTTGGGTATGACTGTCTGACGACGGCCACTAAGCCAGAAATGGCCGTTTCAGTCTCCCTTGTCTTTTCCGGTAATGCCATTCTGCATGTATGTACATATATGCAGGACGAACGGTCATGGAACAACCGCGGAATGTTTGATGGACGCTGTGATCTTTGGACCGCGAAACCTCAGAACACAGAGGCTATTCGCGGCATATGTAGTGCTCTCATTTAGCACGGACAATTAGACTTTTCCTCAAGGAAGACCAGTCAGTTTAAGTCGGTTTATTAAGGAAATGAGGCTTTCGGCCTTGAGCTCCCTATTCATATCGATAAACAGAAATAGAATCATCAATTACACCAGCAAATGCGGAAATTCAAATTTAGCGATAAGTGCGAGCCGGGCGCAAACTGCCGCCGCTAAAACAATCGTGAGTTAATGTACAGTAGTTTCTCAGCAAATGAGCATCTAGTCTGCACTTAAAGGATTCGACAGATTCGGAAAGAACCACCGCATCAGGGAGTCCGTTCCATGCCCCAATGACCCTGTGGGAGAAGGCGTTCCGTCGGACGTCCGAATGAGCACGGTTCCTCTGCAGTTTGAAGGAATGACCACGCAGACGGTCAGTCCCGGCCAATTCAAAGTCTAGGGCGCACTTAGAGGCCGTCTGCGTGGTCATTCCTTCAAACTGCAGAGGAACCGTGCTCATTCGGACGTCCGACGGAACGCCTTCTCCCACAGGGTCATTGGGGCATGGAACGGACTCCCTGATGCGGTGGTTCTTTCCGAATCTGTCGAATCCTTTAAGTGCAGACTAGATGCTCATTTGCTGAGAAACTACTTCCTCAATCTTTAGCAGCTGCTCAAGCACGGAGAGATCCTATATCCCCTTGGACAGCCAGTTGCATGAGTCACCCAATCCTACTCTGTTAAATCCGTGGCCTCTAGGTCTAAATGACTGCCGTACACTAAGAATTAAACTACGGGCACTGTTGCGAAGTTCAAGCAGGCTGGCTCGTTTACACTCTTATTAAACCCCTGAACAGCAGGCCATCTTCCACTCGGTCAAAACGAGTGCCCTGAAAGCCACACCCTTGCATATGCAGAATGTTATTACCGACAAAGACAAGGGGGTAATAACATTCTGCCTTTATCATGCGCCACTGTGCGGCTCATGGTTGGGTCCGAGAGAGAGAGAGAGCCCAAAAGGCACAAGGGGACGAGTGAGTTTCGTAAAAAGTATCGGTGAGCGGCCCTCTACCTAACCTTTGTATCTTATGGTTTCAGCCATCATTTAACAGTGTTTCTGGCTTAGTGCATGTACCTGGTAATTCAGTGCTTTACTTTGCTTACATACCACGCGTTTGCCTCTGCAGACAAGCCCACTGACTCCGGAAAAATAATAGGACTGAAACGTGCGTAGTTCGTAGAAGGCTCGACTGTTCATATCGCAAACCCTCTGATCCAAACTGCCTACTATGTAGGGCGGAGATTAACCTCGAAAGCTCACCGGCTTCCACCAACTAATTGTTCGGAGGTTGCGTTTTTTGGTCGAGGGTGTAAATATTAATAAATGTCACCGAGCCGTACAAAGGACACAAACGAGATGTGCATAACTGCATAGGAAAATAAAAATTAACGAATGAACAGGAATCGCAAGATGGCTGAAATCGAATTTCACCTGCATTGTATGTTTTCCATTACCCTTTTCGGATGATCGAGTGGGAGCTCTTGGGTGTATGTAAAAACAGTATGGCTGATCGACCTATCGCCTTACCGTTTCCGGCTCCATTTAACGTAAATGCTGAAAGAAACAGCCTCAAACAGTGAATTCAGGCAACACTGCGAGACCTGCCAAGTCAGACCCTCTGTAGCTCCCTCAGGAAGTGTAGCAGATATGCTAACTCATTAAATGCTAGCCGAAATTCTGAAATGCTTTTTGGACTCAAAAAAATTACTTAAGTAGAGTTGTGATATTAATTTCCGTGTAACATAATCCCAAGATATTTCAGTTACTTCGATATACCGGCTTTTGAACGAACCTTTTTCCAGCCGCCTGCGAAAACTGCAATCTGTAAAAATGACTACTTGTGCAGCGTGAATTTTTCACATCGACTTTCGATGCTCTTATAAATCCAAATATATTTCATAGAAGACATACGTGAAAGTATAACTACTGTTCTCATTTGGTAAAAAAATTGCATCTTCAGATTTTATACTTGAAGGAAGGGTATAATCCGGTTTTTAAGAAGGTTTTTGCTCTTGAATAATTTTGGACCCCGCCTGCCGTCCAGGGTTTCCAAACTACAAGCTTTATATGTTCCCTGTACGGAAAATCATACATTTCTATACGCTATCATGAGAAAACCAAGGGAACAGGAGTTTCCGGTTAGACTTGAATATATAAG